TTGCTATAAAAGTTTTATAAAATTTTTTTATTAAATGATTAAATTAATTTTACAAATATATATATATATACAACAAATACATGTTAGAAACTTTCCCCTTAAAGACCTTATTCAGTTAAAATGTGTATAGAAAGCCATAGACTATATAAAGACTTATTCCATTACGAATAGGTAGGCATTAGTATTGAAAAATTAACACAAAACTTTATTTAGTAATCATTGAAATAACTTGTCTAGTTAAGATATTACTAAATATCTATATAAAGTGTTCTTTGGAAAAATTCATATATAATATATGGACTGCAAGTGTTAGAAATTCAATCCTATCGAATTTGAACGATAGACTTACGTGCTAAAACATAAAGCCCAGATCCACTTAAATTGCGTTATTCAAATTTTAAATTGTATCGCTTTTTGTTGTTTATTCATATACTTGTACTATTTATAATTTAAGTATTTTAAACATTCTGTTTTAATATAATTTGGGGCAATTCAATGATGACCGCATTTTTACCAAGTCATTTTTGCGCACAGGTAATGCACCAAATTTTGGAACATTATCTATATAGTCAAGAAAATGTTTACCTATGCATATCTGATCCATATTATACATACATTGTGACCGAAAAGCTTTCGGAAATTCTCATTTAAAATTCGCGCGCTGTATATTTTCCGATATTTTAAGTTTATGTAGTTTGGCAGCACTGTCCTTAATTACTATGCCAAAAATGAGCGCGATCTGTCAGACAGTTCGTTTACGGCAGCTGTTGAAACCAGTTCACCTCAGTAGGGCGTTGCGAAAAAAACAATGGAAAAAAATATTGAACAAAGAGTTTGCATCAAATTTTGTGTTTCGAACGAAATTTCGTGTGCAGAATCGTTGCGAATGCTACAAAAGGCTTATGGGGAATCAGTTTTATCGAAAACTCAAGTTTATGAGTGGTACAAAGCCTTCCAGGACGGTCGTACGACCGTCGAAGACATTTCGCAACGCACTACTGAGGTGAACTGGTTTCAACAGCTGCCGTAAACGAACTGTCTGACAGATCGAGCTCATTTTTGGCATAGTAATTAAGGACAGTGCTGCCAAACTACATAAACTTAAAATATCGAAAAATATACAGCGCGCGAATTTTAAATGAGAATTTCCGAAAACTTTTCAGTCTTAATGTATAATATATTTAGTATGACATTACCTACGTATAATATTTATGGATTATATATTATTGAAAATGCAGTTGCTCCAACCGTTAAAACTAATAGAGATCTTTAAGAACAATCCTTACACTTTCTTTCTTTCTTCAAATCAATGAGCCTGGAAGATATTTCAAATATATATCTTCCAAAAGCAACTTTCATTCTTTACTACGCAAACATCAAAACTGATAACAAACAGCGATTTATCTGCTACTTAGATAGAATAAGATCTGTCGCTACTAAAAGCTATCAACCAAAGTTTCCATTGATGCGAACAAATAATGGGAATATATGTTATGACTTCAGCAAAGGTATGCTATGTTCTACATCACTTATGAAATACTATATTTGTTGAAGAAAACTGTAAGAAAAACGGGAATATCGTATAAGATATAATGATGGACTTGATCAACTAATAGAAGGTGACATAATAATCAAGCACATAAAAAAGCAAAACTTGAAGTGGGTTGGACATGTTGTGCGGATGCCAGAAGAAGATTAGCAGACAGAATCTTCGCGGGTGAAGTAAGTACAACGGGAAGAAAAGGAAGACCAAGAAAGAGATGAAGTGCCAGTGTTCGACAAGATCTGAAAAATATGAATGTCATCAACTGGAAGGTAAGAGCTAAAAAGAGAGAAAAATGTAGGAATGTCGTGAAACAAGCTTAGGTCTTACATAGACTGTATAGCTATGGATGATCATGATGATATTTGTTGAAGAAACAATTTTCGAATTGTATCATTTTGAGATAGGAACTTGAGATAGCCACTTGAGATAGGAACATATGCACTATTGAGTTTTGAAGGCTTTTTCCTGTGGGTAACCTTATGAAAGCTGAAGAGTGACGTTCAAGCTGAAATGATACAAATAACATGAGACATATCTCAAAAACGGAATTTTTTACCTTGGAACAATTTTATAATAGAGATTTAATTGACCTTAGCACTTTAAGGAAATGATTGTTGAGCTTCCAGTTGTAGTCCAACTTTTTTATTTTTAATATATGATTTTATCTATGGAAACTGAAATTTTATCAACATTTTTTTATTCTTCTTTGCAATGCAATTAGCGTCAAATTTCGATTCCTAAAATATTTTAAAAATTAATAAATCAATTAATATTTAATTATCACTACCAATGGTTGCTTTGTAGTTTACCAGTTGCTCCCACAAAACATTCTACCACTAAGCATTGCACTGCCCCTTCTTTTATAGTAAAACTTTAGTACATGTTCCGCCGCCCGTAATGCTAGGATCTGACCATAAAACTATAAATTTGAAATGATTTTGCGTAAAACAAAACAATGAAGTGCATACGTGGGTGTCGTTTTAATTGACCGTGAACTATTCATCGAACTATCAACGAAGGGCAACATAAAGTGACGTGGACTAGTGCTAATAGCCGGACACACAACCTGGCCTAAAAATACTTGAACCAAAATAAATACGGGCTCGCCTGACTGATGAATTTAAAATTAGAAACTAACATGGAAAGTGAATAATTATTGATGACGTTTTGGTCTATAAATGGAGCGTAGTTAATATTATAGGAAAACTAAAAAAAAAAAATAAGACGACTACATGGGATAATCAATTTAAGAAGTGAATCACTACTTTCGGTCATTTGAATTTTAAAATCTTTAATTTTTATATAAAAAATAATAATTTTTATATGGATATATGGATAATAAAATAAATATAATAAAAATAAAAACAATGGAAAGGTTATCATTTTACAGTTAACAAAATGGCTTTAATAACAAAAACATACTCGTAATTATTACAAATATGAACTATAAGCAAATACAAACAAAAAATTATTCTTCAAAATTATATATATGATATCAAATATACTTAAAACTTATATGACAAAAAACTTTTTCGTATACAACT